ATGAGCTTTTGTTTCATATTTTAAGAGATGTGTATAAAAAGCATTGTACGTCTTCAATGTTTCTTTGTTTTTGCTTTTTTTTTTTCCCCCCCGCATTTTATCGTCATTACAGTCTCCCAAGTAAAAAAGCAAAGAAATCCACTCTCTGCATTTAACCCGTCTCCTTGGGGAGCAGTGTGGGGTTAAGGGTCTTGCTCAGGGACCCAGAGTGGCAGTCTGCATGAGTTCTTTGGGAGGGCCAGTAACACATTGGTGGAAAATTATGGAATTAGGCCACTTTTTCCGTCCCTGAGGGTCCCTGCTGACGCTATTTCATTAATGGAAGGTGATTAAAACAAGAGAGCTAGTCTCTAAAACAGACATGGCTACGGCTTGATGCTAACATGTTTGTTATCTGGCAGAATTCTGATTTTTTCCCCATATTAAACTGAATTTATATTTAAAAAACATAACTTTTTTACTTTTTTTTCAGTGGCCCTAATCCTCTTGTGTAGGAAAGGTCCCGTCCCTTGGAAATGTCGCCTATTCAGGGAATAAGGCTGAATGTGGGTCCAGGCTGTGGAGGAGGTCGGCTTTGATCTTCCCGTATCAGACGACAGAAATGGCAGCAGTGAGCACTGAAGGCGAGAGTGACCAGATGGTGACCGCAGACTTCACAAGAAAACTTCACCTCAGAGTCACGCAGAGCGAAAACATCAGGAGAATTTTTAAATCCTTTCTGCATCAAATCCATTGAGTTTAGAGTTACAATGAAAAAAATAGTGGAGAACAAAATCTCTTCCTAATTGATATTTAAGGGGAACGCCATTTTTTTTTTTTTTTTTTTCCATTGGGTCCTTGATTTTAAATTATTCCATCATGTTCTACTCACCCATATGAGTTTTGTGTCATTTGGAGCCGTTCTGAAGATATTCCGCCGTTATATTTTTTATATTTATATTTTTTTAAAACAAAGCGGCGCGTGTATGACGTCATCCGTGTGGCGGACTGGAGTTGTGACAGTCAGCCCGGGTCACAGGCGGCTACGCTCTACCCCTTCTATTCATTCTAGCTAATCTGAATCACTTCACTGCAAAAACAATCTAGAAAATAAGTAAAGATTACTTCAATTAAGTGTATTTACCCTTAATTTGATTACCGGTAGGTAAGTAAGAGGATTTGCCAATGGAATGAGTATTTTTACTCTTAAAATAAGATAATTAGATAAAATGCAATTGAAATAAGACATTCACTACAAAAAATTTAAACTCAATAAGTAATTTTTTCTTAAAATAATAGCATTTTTTCTTGTACTGAGGAGGTAAGTGAGACACTTTGCCAATGGAACAAGACAATTTACATTTAAATAAGAAAAAAATATTTTATTGTCTTATTTCAGGTGCATATTATCTAATTATCTTATTATAAAAGTAAAAATACGCAAATCATCTGATTTACCTGCTCAAATTAAGAATAAAAACACAAAATGTAAGAATTTTTTTACTTATTTCTAGATTGTTTTTGTAGTGTTGCAGTTGTTTTTTCTTAATTTAAATCAAAATCATCTTGTTCCATTGGCAAAGTGTCTCACTTACCTCCTCAATCCAAGAAAAAATGCACTTATTTTAAGAAAAAAATGACTTATTAAGATTTACATTTTTTGCAGTGGAGAGCGAGATCATCTGTGGTAGCAGCACTACACTGCAAAAAATGTAAATCTAAATAAGTCATTTTTTTCTTAAAATAAGTGCATTTTATCCTGATTTGAGGAGATAAATGAGACACTTTGCCAATGGAACGAGACAATTTACATTTGAAATAAGAAACAATCGCATTGTCTTATTTCAAGTGCATATTATCTAATTAACTTATTTTAAGTTTAAAAATACTCATTCCATTGGCAAACTATCTTATTTACCTGCTCAAATTAAGGGTAAAGACACTTGATTTAAGAATTTTTTACTTAATTGCAGATTGTTTTTGCAGTGTAGACATCTTCCAGGCATGTGAGGAAAAGTAGCTGCAGTTCAGCGGACAGGATGAATGAACGGTAGCCGGCGCGCGGATGAGGTCATACACACTCCGCTTTGTTTTAAAAAAATATAAATATAAAAAAAAATAACCTAACGGAATATCTTCAGAACGGCTCCAAATGACACAAAACTCATATGGGTGAGTAGAACATGATGGAATAACGTAAAATCAAGGGACCAATGTAAAAAAAAAAAGGCGTTCCCCTTTAATCTCGGACATTAAGGACTCCTCGTACAATTTCTTTTGTATAAAAATGTTCTTGTTGTTAAACCTCACAGTTCTACTTTCCATGCCAGGTCTTTATGTACATTAACTAGTCAGGCATTTGTTATTGACATTTATCCAAGTCAGTTTACAAGTTCTTAATGTATGCTAACAATGTGAGCATTCAGAACTTCCACGAGTTTGGGAACGTTATTGCATACATTAAAGGAGCCTACCCTCCCTCATTAGGACACTCGGGTCATAACCTTGTCCAGCTGCTCCCCCACTACCTACCAGTGGTGAGAAGGACAATAGTGCAGAAGAGGTCAGTGAAAGTTTGGTCAGATGAGGCCACTGAGAAACTGAGGGATTGTTTCAGAGCCACAGATTGGAGCAGGTTCCAGAGCTTTCATGGTGATGACATCATCAGCCTGACTGAGTGTATCACAGACTACATGACCTTCTGTGTGCGGAGCACGGCGCCCAAACGACGGCTACGCAGCTTTCCAAACAACCACCCCTGGATAAGTCCTGAGCTGAAGGTCCTCCTGAACCAGAAAAAAAGTTCTTTCAACTCAGTAGACAGAGAAGAGCAGCGTAGAGTCCAACGAGAGCTCCGATCAGGGGGGATTTACCATTAGGCAATACTCGGCCATATTGGATCAGTCCATTTGCTGCACATGTTCAGAAAGGTCCAAACAGACAGCAGCAAAC